TAATCGGGCAATAAAGCAGTAGATTTTGTATATTAAACATATCAACGATAAGGATTTTCCTAAACTATTGGCTGCCATAGCAACCATTTTTAAGATAAATTATGAATTACTATTTTGATATTTAGTAAAATACAATTAAATTCAATTTATTTTATTGAAAAAGAGAAAAAATCACGAATGAAGCTTTTATAATATCGTTTTATACTTGTCAGTATCACAATATTGTGATAGCAACCATTATAAGGAAGTGTTCAAAAACTATTTGGTTACCATAGCAACGTGATTTGGGACGCCTAAATTTTTATTTATTACTTTTTTTTAATGTACATAAGTGAAATAACAAATATGATAAGTGTTATCTATTGTTTGAAGAAATTAAATAATGCACTGAGGCCACAGATTCTGCATAATGAAAACGCCAATAGCTACAGTGATTTTTCCTGACTTTTTGGTTGCTATAGTAACACATTATTTTTGTTTAATTTATGAACTTGCATTTTTATCATTTTATTTTGAAATTATGAGGTTTAGTAGTGTGATTTGTTTTACTCTTGATTTTTTTTTTAAAGCTATAATGTACAAAAAGGAGTCGAATGTTGAATTTACAAATTAATCCAAAATCTCCATAGCAACCATTTTCATTTTCGTTTTATTTTATTTTAAGAAATATTACCACTCTAGAAATTTTATATTTTCATGACTAAGGAATGACCTTTTCAGTGATGGTAGTTGTTTGTTATGGATTGCCTGCGTTTTCTTGCTACTACGCTTAGAAAATGCCAAAAATTGACATTTTTTCAAATTTGTTAAAATTTGAAAAATTCACACTTTTCACTGAAAGACAACTCTTTTATGACCAATTATTGAATAATTTCATCAGTTGTGGTAGTTACTACAACACATATTTTAATAGAGTAGGCAACAATTAAATCTGTAAATAAAACGCAGAAAATAGAATTTTATGATGAAGATTGTATACTTTCAGTAGGTTGCTCTGTATTTTTGGCCTCAAAATGGTGGTTTTGGTTACCATGGCAACCAGTACTCAAAATAAAAAAATAACCCCAAAAATGTTCTTTACATGGTGTTTCTACATTGCATGCAAAAAATCAGCAAAATCTGTGATGTACCATTTCCAAATTTTTTTTAAATTCTTTGATTCTTACAGAGAATGACTCTTAAAATAACAATATATAATACTTTTCGGCAAAAATTAGAGCTCACTAGTGACCGATTCGCTGGTAAAAATGTGCATTGTCATCTACACTGCCAAACCTTTGTTTGCCTAACATGGCTATTGTTTTAAATGCGCACAGAGGATCATACAACGAGCAACTGACCAATCGTTGAATGAATAGCAACGTTTACGCCAAATAAATGTTTACATTTTATTTCGAACACGTAGTTCTGGTCAATCTACGATCATGTCAATGGACTGCAAAATAAAAAAAAATGTTCTTACGAACAAAATATAAAGATAAGAAACTATGAAAGATGTTACAAGCATTTTTAATTTGTTGTTAAATGAAAAAAAAAAATGTTTAATAAAATGTACTTTGTGTCTAGTTCAAAATACCAGCGCTTCAAGGGCAAGGAAAACGAGCAGCATCTCTCATGCATTTAATGGACAAAACTTTGTTTACGTTCGTGATCACGTCGTTGGCCGGGGAATTCACCTGGCAATTGTATTCACCGATAGTACAACAAAGGAATAAATACAGACGCAAATCGCTTTTGCATTATAACTTTTAGAAACCTAGACTTCCGCCGTTTCTTTAACAAATGAATTGTTTGTCATTTAGAGCATGAAAATAATATTTTTAAAAATGCTCTTCGTTTACTATCAGATTTTTTTTTCAACGTAAAATTCCTGTAGTATTCGTAGTATCCCATAATGCAATACTCATTCAGCTGATTGGTCAGTTAAAATCATGCTGGTGCCTCATTTGCTAATCTGACGCCAAAAAATATAGTCCGGTTCCCATGCAAAAATATTTGTCCAAAAAGAATTTTGAATTCATGACTGCAGAAAATTGTAATATAGAGAATACTTTCTTAAGTTTGAATGAATGTAAAGGAGATCGATTAATTAAAGTATATTTCTACAGACATTATCAGCTGATTCTAGGGTGTTGAAAACTGAAATGCAACATAACTTTTCTGTACCATGCCTCCATGTGCTAGTCACTTCCTAACCATATTTCCGTGATTTATTTTCCCTATCTCGCTGAAGTCTCGCTAACTCTCGCCAGAGCCACTGTCAGACCAACTCTGAACTCATAGGGTTTTATAATTTTCAGATCACCGAAAAATCAAAGGTTCCGAACAAATTAGTAGGGGTGTTAAAGTTCTTCCTTGATTACGTATTGAACCTTCGGGATCGGTATTCAAAAAAGGAAAACTCTAATCATTCCCAATGGGAATATGAACAACTGGTTCGCGACGATAAATATCAGCGAGCAAAGGTTACTTACGGAACTCGCGGATATTTATAGCACGCGCATAATACTTGGTTTACAGTATCATCTTCATAAACACTGACAACAGCGACCTGAAATTAGACATACAACTTGTTTCTTAACAGTCACAAAAGTACCATCTTCATGAATAAACACGAACAATAGTGACCTGAAATTAGATATAAAGATTGTTACATATAAACAGTCAAAAACTTATATCCTTATAAATAAAAACGGACTACCGGGCACATGTTAAACTAAAAGTAGCTTATAAAGTGTCCCAAATACTTACAAAAAAATCAATCATCTTCATCTTCACTTCATCAACAGTGGTCAGTATGTTGCATTCATAGGCCATTTTTTAATGGTAATTTAAAAATAAGAAAGAAATTAAAAAAAAAGTTTTACTAAAAATGTCAAATTTTACTTATTTCAAAACCTTTATCTACGATACTAAAAATTTTTATAATACCTTAAAAAATGAAACAGTTGACTCCCGTTCGTAGCTGAGTATAGGATTAAAATTGATCTTATAAATTATTTATTTCTTTTTTTCCCCTTACTTCTTATCCTTTATGGTGCGTATTATGATATGAACAATTTAATCTTAAATGAGCCAAATGCTTTTTCGTGAAGAACGGCGAAACCGGAGGGGATATCAAGACTTCTCACCGTCTTTCTTATTGGTTTTTCTGTCCTTTTTTCTAAACAGTCGATAAATAACATTTTTTAAGGAATCTACAATACCTAATGCTACGGAAGACCAATAGTCCAAAAACAAAAAAAAAGATAAAGAAAGAAAAACGAAATTACAAAATAAAGGGAAAAAACGGAATCATAATATATAGAAAACTAATTCATGAAACAAAGAAAAACGAAATTATTAAATAAAGACATCGAATTTGTTAAATAAATACAATGAAATTATTGAATTATCTTATAATTTCGGTTGGTTTTCTTTACTTGATAATTTCTTTTTTTCTTTATCAAATAATTTTGTTTTTTTCTTTATTAGATAATTTTATTTTTTTTTATTTGATAATTTGGTTTTTATTAAGTTATTTTTGGTTTGCACTATTGTGTTTCCGTAAAATACAGATCTATGGCTAGTTAATGTTCAGTTCTAGTGTCAATGAAAATTGAACAAGTAAAGATTAAACGATTCAAACCTTCATTTTAATGTCGAAAAGAACAAGACCGGACAATGAGAGACATATTTACATTGAAAATCCTTTCCAATGCGGGAAAATAATTATAAATCGCTTACAATATGCAGTCAGCAGCGTATGCGCACAGATTGTTATATCACGATTATCCTGATAAAGCAAATATCTAATTTCTCTTTCATTTTAATTTTGAAGCAAAAATACCGAACATTAACTTTTCCAACGATTGGGATGTTAGAACATTGTTTGAATGTCTTCTCCTAATGGAGCTATTTTGTTTATCGGATCTGGAAGCGTCTGCCTTGACGTTCTTTGTTTTGTTCTTTTTTTTTTGGTTTCTGTGCTATTTATAGTAAGACAGTCGATCATGATGCCTATAGTCAGGATTTTGCTTTCAGCAAATCCCAGCTAAAAATTCGAATTATAAAACTATATTAACAAAATCTCAAAATCCTCTCCCCGTGTTAATAAAGAAAGTAAAAATGGAGTGTATATACAAGATGTAAACAGATTACTGAATTAGATCATGATTTAGTATATAACGAAATGCCTCACCTTATTTAGCATACTGAAGTGTCTAAGTGATGTTACAGATTTGTAAATATCTAGTTAGAAACAAATCATTTAACCACTATGATATGTTGTAGGTTAATACCCTTACCCGGTGTATTAAATCGTCTCTTTTGCAAGTCAGAATGAAACATTGTAAAAAAAAAATCATTCATTCGTAAAGAGGGGTTACAAATTACAACTGTTTACCTTCAGATATAGAACCTTGACTTTGGAATTCCTGAACATGCATTTTCTAGCGAAGGAATTTAAACTGACTATATTTATTGACAATAAAGTCAACGTTTGGGTCGTGCCTGTCCTGATTTAAATACTTCGTAATCTGTTCATCAATGACATCAATACGTATTCATACATATATGCATAACTAAATTTACCTTATTTTTGTCCATGAAAAATTTCCTTCGAATTTCTTTATAGCTGGCCCCCTATCATGACTTTATATGTGTATATGATTCTTTTGATTTAAATAAAGCCTCAAAAAGGAACATTTCATTATGAGTATTTATACTGTACTTAATCTTACTCTTATTTAATTAACAAGAATGGTGTTTGTGTTTGTATTTTACTGATTATATATGATAGTTACAATTTCAAAGATATCTCCATCATATTCATTTGAGGACATGAGCGCTTTGTAGTTCATTTTTAAATTATAAGGATTTCAAAGGGCATTAGAAGTAAAACTTTAATAAAGAGAGAAAAAGAAAACATGTGCTAATTTTTTGCACACTTACTTTTTAATAAATCAGCACTTCTTTTATACAGAAGAATTAAAGTACATTTAGCATTCTGTTGTTTTTGCTTTTATTAAGTGAACCTTACATAAATATACCTATATTTTTATATTTCTCTTATGACATCCATCTTTAAATATAGGTATGGACTCAGCAATAGTAATTCCTTACTTTTATTTAAAATTCCAATGCAGGTTCATACAATTTCTATTTCTTAATAAAAATTTATTGTATTCATGTATGAACGCATAAATGAAATTCATAATGCATATGCATTCAAATGAATTAATTTGTAAATATCTTTAGATAAGAAATTGAAATTTATCTTTAGATAATAATTTGTACTCATAAAAATGTCACATATTTCTCGCCCGTTAAATTACAAAGTACATTATTGCTTGAATATCAGACATATACATAACAAGGAAATTTGGAAAAGAACAATTTATACACGAGTGATACAAAACATATATTAAAAATACAATTAAAAACATTACGTAGGCTGTGACGTCACAGCCTGACTACCGGACACGGCTTCTTCATAAGATGGCGGTTGCGTCATAACTACTTGTGGAGTAATGTCTTTTGATGGGATTATTGCAGGAGTGCCATTAGTCACTGGAAGTCCCCCACCATCAACGGTATAAACCTGAGGATCTTGACCTCTGCGATCCTTATAGCAGCAGTCACATGACTCAGAAGCGAAGCAGAGCCACCAATGAGTGGCGCAATGGTGCCCTGCTTCAGTTGAATCCACGCAACATTCTGGAAGAGAGTATAATGATATTTCTCACTACATGTTTACCTAGAATGTAAAACTATTGTAATTAAACTATTTTAAGCTGATTACGCATTCACAGGACGCAAGCACTATATTTGAAAAATCGAAAGAAATTTGATGATTTTATTTGTATTTTATGTTGAGAAAAAGTATGGGAAAATGTTTACTTCCTCTCAGTGATTTACGTATTGCAAACATTATGTTCGAATGGGTAAGAGAGGGTAATCAGCTGCTTTGACGACCCGGTAAGTCTTAATTTGAAATACACGGAAAAGGACTACACATGAGCATGGGAACATTACTGCATACAGGAACGCAGTAGTATTTTCAGGAAACAGAAAGGGGGATTGTCAATCACTTCATATTACATTTAATTGTTGAATCATTTTTTGAATGGTGGTTACATTCGAGTCGCACTTTAATCTGAACAGTGCATATCGTATTGAATATACGGGTTAATCTACGAAAAACATGGTACGGTAACTTTGTTTTTTCCTCTTCATCATAATCACAATTGTACATGCACTTCGAATTATTTGTGCATTTTTAGCTGAGTTTATTAATTTGTGTCAATCTCACCACAAGAACAACAGTGTGTACATCCAAACAAACAAGGACAGCAATGACCAGAGTGGGCTGAAATTAGACACACAGTTTGTTATAAACAGTCTTAAAAATATTATCATCATAAATAAAAACGCACTTCAGGGTCCAGAGGAACCTTAAAGTAGACATATAAATTGTTGCAAACGTTCACAAAAATAAATAATCTTAATCTACATATTACAATGTATATTTAAGGGTGATGGTTTATGCTTTGAAATGTAACATACTTGTTAATGTTGGTATTTAAAAGTTTTAAGCACATACACAATTTACAACATGATCAAAATTTTCTATCTGCCTATACCCATAAAACACAAATTATACGGGTGATAAGTACTCTAAACACGTTGACAACATATACATGTACAATGGGGGGATAAACTTGCTAACTTCTGAATAGTCAGGAAACGTGAGTGTTATAAAAACGATGATGATGTCACTTATGTCATAACCCAATTTAAACAACAGAAATATTCCGAGATAAAATGGGAGGAAATGGAATGCTGTCGGTGAGCAGTTCTATGACTATTTCACCATTGACAAAATGTACAGACATTATTCCAGAATAGAGACTGTTTGGGGAAAAAATAGCTGGTTTAATCGTCATATCTTTTTATAATACTCACCGTTATCATCACAACAATGACAATCCCAGTTGTCTCCACAGATACCACAGCAATCGCCGCATTCACAGTCGCCACAATCACAATTACTACAGTCGCCGCAATCGCCGCAGTCACCGCAATCACAGCTACCGCAGTCACAGCTTCCACAGTCTATATCTGCCATTGTTATCGCCTGATGTCAACCACCTATTAAATGAGAAATTGATTCTGTTTTCTTTTAGATTTTAAATGCCAGTTAGCTGCTAGAATTGTCCGGTAAAATCGTGGTCGAGGCGTTTTTCTCGGAAAATAATTGGCACACAAAGATGAAAATGTCCGCAAATGATTGTTTAAAAGATTTAAGTGAATCTTAGTTATTTTATTCCACCTCTGGTGTTTCGAGGTCTGTGTTTGCTTAGCTCCAATTTTGTATTGTTTTATGAACTTTTGATCTTGAATACTGTTCATTATCTCCGTATGTTTCATTAGATAAAATATAGACAAAAATTAAGAGTTTTTATAATTCTTGAATGTGTACAGGGTACGGACCTTCGGCTCATGATCACAAATATGGTTTCAATAGAAACTACACTAGCATTATTTTCAAATAAAAGTATTTAACAGATAACATTAAAGAAAGTTATCCTAATTTAATTTACGATCCATTGTGTCCTCTTTGTGAAAATTTCAAGGCATTTGCATTTTTTGGCAGTTTTCCGAGCATTCGAAATGGGAAAGAGGAAAATAAAAAATACCAAAAATGGCGATGCTTGATGATATTAAGGCGCACTGGAGAGCAGTTCAGTTTGTTTTAAATAAAGCATTGATGCCTGAAGAAACTTTAAGTAAATAAGGAAGAAATTAAAATCTGACCAAGTTTGAAGTATACAGTTAAAATGGGAGTTTTTTTTTTAGAGAAATCCTTTTGATAAAGTCCAAGGGTAAAACAAAATATATGGACAAAAAGCTCGGTAATACCGGCATAAACCGTCAATATACAGTAAAACTCGGTTATAACAAAGTCGCTGGGATCTATGAAATCACTTCGCTATATCCGTAATTCGTTATAACCGTATAAGAAATACATTAAATTTATATAGCTGGGGATCCAAAATGACTTCGCTATATCCGTAAATTCGCTATATCCGTGTTCTTACTAAACGAGTTTTACTGTATAAATAATGGTTATTCATTTGAATTATACACACATGTATTGAAAATTTTAATTTTATTGTCCACACTTCCTATAAATACTTTAAAAGGGCAAATATGTGTGCTTGATTGGTTCCTAGACTCTTAAAAGTCTTTGTGCAGTAATATCAAGGGAAACCCTTATATATGTGTATCAATGAATTCTTAATTTGAAGTGGGACTTATCCAACATTTTTGGAAAAGAGGAAATGTGACGCTTCTTTAAACACTTAGACGTTATTCTCCCGCGCTTAAGCTTATACAACACATATACATGAAATCTCATCATTTCTTTATTTATAGATATTATCTTTCTAAAATTTGCTATGCATGTTGATGGATAACACACAAAAATGTAGTTAAAAATTTAAAAGGCAGTGATGATTATTTTTTCAATCTAGACAACTTGTGTAGTATTTTGCCAGACAAACAGCGTATATTTAAATTTATTGATTTTTTTTTCGGAATGCGTTAACGATAGGATTGACATAGTGATTTTGTTTTGTGATGTTTTTTATCATTTGCCCAGGTTTACAGTACAACAGAAAGGAAATCAACCTGATCAGTGTATCCTTTGAATCTAATTGATATATAGAAATCAGTTCCTTGTTGATAATTTTGAATTATGTGGATAATATACAGCTGCATAATACATACACGTCAAACACTCCTATATGTGTTCTCTTTAACCTAAACAGGATCAAAGAAAACATTATCTCAAGTGTTTACAATAGGGATTTGTTTCTGAGGAGAAAACACCTGTAGGTGTGATATTACACCTCAATTTTCCATTTCGTAGGAAATAAAGCTAAACGTTATATGCAGAAAGTTTCCTGCATTAGAATATTTATAATGAGATATTTTTTTACAGATCAAAACATCACTTTATCAGTGTTTATAGTAGAAAAGTACGGCATTTAAAAGCAAATATAAAAATTAAAGTAAAAAAATGTATCACCAAATCTCAAACTGCTATTGCCTTGTTTATAAAATAATAAAATCTAAGTGAAACAGGCGTCTACGATGTATAAATACAAGTTGTAAGCTGAATTAGATCATGGCTTAGTATAACGAAATGTCTCACCATATTTACCGTACTGACGTGTTTAAGTGTTGATATAAATTTGTCAATATATAACGGAAATAAATCATTTAACTCTGTGACATGTTGTAGGTCAATATCTTACCTGGTGAGTTAAAGTGTCTTCTTCTTAAGTCTAAGGAAGAAAGAAACAACGTAAAAACGATATCATTCAGACATGCACGTAAAGAGGGGCTCCGAACTACAGCTGTTTACTGTCAGATTAAAACCTTGACATTGGAAATCCAGCTGAGTATGTATTTTTTAGCCCGAGAATTTATATTTGTTAATATTTATTGAAAATAAAATTTACTTTTGGTTCATGTCTTTAACATGTCTGTCACGATTTAAGAATACAATGTATTTGTAATCTGTTAATCGATGACAAGTTATCTACAAATATTAAATGTCTTTGAAAAACTGTTGACCTTTATTAATGGCAATTACTGGTCTGATTGATATGTCGATATCGCTCTAGTACAAAGTAAAGCAAAAAAAAAAGGCTTCTCCGGGGACCAGAGAGATATAATGCATAGACAAAAATATACGTTTCATTCAGTGACAAATGGCAGTGTCGTATTCTAAGTATATAAGCAAATGTACATTACCTTATTTGTGTTCATTCTAAGATCCCATTCTTATTCCTTCATAGCCCCCTGTCATGAGTATATCTATGAAATAAAGCAAATAAAGGAAAACATTTCATTAGTAATATTTATACTGAAACAGGTCGAGGCAATAAATCTTATTCTTAACAGGTATGTTGTTTAAGTTTTTATATAGATAGAGACAATCGATTTGTTGTTGTCAGTTACAAAATGTACAAACCTTGTAATACATGTATTTGCGGTTGTTATTTATAAATTTTTAGATATAAAAAAGTGGGTAAGAACATTTCTATTTAAAGGAGAAATTTGAACACTACAGTATATGTAAAGCAAACTAAAAAAGACACGAAGAAAACTTTTATATAGTTTATATGAAAAATAAACGTAAAATATAATCTCAATGACTTACCGTCCGCGTCCTTCGATATTTTCCTTATTACAATCCCACATTTGTTTAGCACTCCGTTTTACCGTAACTTATAATTTCCGTAATACTTACATACACTCGCTTCAGCTGTTTACTTTAAACAACCCTTTAAATGATGGTATATTTTGAATATGCGTCAGATGATTTCACAATATTTATTTGTGATTTTAATATGTTTAATAATCGGAAACTGGGAAGAAAAAAACAGTTGAAATGTTGATGAATAGTCCCAAAAAGTAAAAACATGTATATAAACAAAAAAAAGGTAGACGTGCAGGAAACAAGCTAGTATATATGACAGATTGATTTGATACTGAACCTAATCTCAATAACCTACCGTCCGTCCCAATTGTTATTTTGTTATCTATACAATCCTATGTACAAAGAGTTAAGTACTTGTCTTCATACACAGATGTATCACTTCCGGAAAATTTAATCGCTTCAGCGGCTTCTATAAACATTAATGGGTCATAATTTGAACAAACGTCAGATGAGTTGAATCTATTCGCGATTTAAATACAATGTGATCCCTTTGTATCAATCTTACGTATAAAATTTTTCTCCCTGAGGCAAATACTGACCACCAGGGTACGGATGCCCTTGTAAACACATGGTGAAGAACAAAGAAGCAATAATTATTAATAAAAATATACTTGTTTCAGTAATGACTTCGTTATTCTTTACTAATTGATAATTTAGAACAATGAAAATATCAGCAGAGCAACGACGGTATGTGAATTTTAAAATGAACATCTTGAAGGTGATTAATATACCTCCATTTTATCCCGAATTCTCCATTTCTTTTCTGATCTCTAATAGTCTTTTTACATACGTTTTGGGATGTAAAATTTCATTTATTTTATAAGACGCTGCGTGCTTCCTGTCATAACACTTTTTCGCTGTTGCTGTTTGGTGGAACTCTGGCGAATTCCAGCGTTTTCTTAAAAAAATCCAAATACTTAATATAGAACCGAATCCCCCACCCCCCATCTCCCAATAAAAAAAATTTCGAGAAAAAGTTGCTAGTTGTGGCTTGATAAAGATTGAAGAAATTTGTAGCAAACTTGCACTTAAGGTAAGTCACTCCTGATATTTGTTATATCAAGGATTTTTTGAGAAGTATATTTTGGATAAGTACTCATAAAGTGTAACTCAAAATCGCAAAGAAAATAGGGGGTCAGTGTGCATCCTACTGATCTACTGTACATTTAAGTTTACTTGTAGTTTTTTTCTTTCTTTTTATTACCACAATACAGTCATATTAATACTGATGAGCCGATAAATTAGTTTAATGATATTAATACAGTATAAAGCTAAAGCTAATCTTTGTATGTTGAAGTTCTGCTGTAAAGTATTATCCGTGAAAAAAAAGAGAATAAACAAAAACAAAAAAAAAAAAAAAAAAAAACAAAAAAAAAAAAACAAAACAAAACAAAATAAAAAAACAAAAACAAAAAAACAAACAAAAAACAAAAACAAAAAAAACAAACAAAAGACTTCCTCAAATAAATATCTTCACTTAAGGAATTTTTCAAATTTTTAAGAGTGTGAAGACAAGTGATAGAAGACAGAAACGAAAATTATCTCTCTAGTAAAATAGATTCCTTTATTATTACAAAATATTCAATATCCTACATGTATCTTTTCCTGTGACATTGGGAAATTTGCAAAAGAATAAATTTTTACAAACTATGTGAAGAGATTTATTTTAGAAAGATCACCAGTATAGGAAATTTTTATTTTGATTGTTTTCAGTTTTTGAAAAATGATCACAGGATAGTAGAGAGATTTAAGAAATATATATTTAGCAGAAACCTAACATAACTGTTTAATATTTGTTGTAACCTTTTGATTTAATATAAAAATGAGAAATCAAAACCAATACACACGGTATACGTTTTTCATGGCCTTTAACCAGAGGGACACCGATATGACTCTCTATGTGTTTGTTCTAGATTGTATGAAAAGCATGAGTCGCAATCTTTTTAATACAGTCAGAATCATTTTGTTATATTGTGTACTGTTCAGTCATGACTAGAGGTATCAACAGAGACAGACTGGATGAAAGATACGAAGATGAAGAACAATTTTCCAGTTCAAAATATAAGTTATAACAATTCAATCTGAGAGCAGAGGAAACATTCTCTACCCAGAGTTGTCGTTCCCGCTTCTCTCCCACATACACCTCTGTCAACGCTTGTAATACAAGATTCTTGGAAAAATTGTTTTTGATTAAAAGTTGTATTCATAATTGTGTGTAATTATATCTCTTATCGGAAAACATTATTTGTTACACCTTAAAAGGATTATTTTTTTAATTAAGATTTTAATTTTTACTCCGCAAAATAGTTCCCTAAAATCTTTCAAAATAAGTCGTTCTGAGTGATTATAGATTTAAAATAAATTACGAATTATCATCTTTATCAATATTTACAATAATTAATTATCATTTAAATTCCGAATCTTCGCTGTTTAAAATTTGTACAAGAATCTTGTACAACGAGCGTTGACAGAGGTGTTGTGAGCGTAGCGGAAGACAACTCTGGATAGAGAATGCAGAGGAAACAGAGCCTTCTATGAGATCAAAACTAGGTACAATGAACAGGTGCCATGGAATATAAAAACAATATTATTGACCGGTCAGACCCATTGAAATGAATTTGTCATAATCTGGTAATTGGAAAAAAACTCATAGGCAATTTAGTATGTTAAATAGCTTTACATTGTTATGAACATATATCAGCATTTTCACAAATGATTAAATTTGCTGAGAAGGTCCTGCTAATTGATCATTTGCCTAACCAGTAGTTATGCATAACAATCAAAAGAGATCGATTTCCAGTTCTGCATTCTTAAACAATTCATTATTTTAAATTAAATATTTTTTTTTAAAAAAAGATTGCGTTAAACATTTGTTTTGAATAAATTATACATGTACTTTTCTTTCCAATGTTTCATTTGTTAAATGAAAACCTTGAAACTACATAGTTGCTTTGATAATTAACATAGATACATATACAGTCAATTCTCGAATTATCGCCATTCGATTCATCGCCATTTTCGCAATACCGCCAAGATTTCCCAAGAACGTATTTCCTGCTATATAAAATTTTCTTTATGACGCCAAATTCGCATACCCCCATCCGCCACCCTCTTTTCACAACAAACGTCCATTTTTAAGTGTCAATTATCTCGATATACCGCCACAGACCTGTGCATGTGGTCAGTGAAGCGCAGCTAATTGGTTGACGCTATCCCTGTTGTTAAGCATGCCAAGCCAGACAAGGTACATGGAATTAAATAAACAATAATTTTTAATTAGAACTGTTATATAACAAAATTGTTTTCTATTAAGTAAAAACCATTTAGTCACGGCTTTGCCTTGAAAGCTTTCGTTGTTTTAGCACGCCTATAATGATATTATTTTAATGAACTCTGCTTTAAACAATACAAAATTTGCTTTAAAAATACTTACATGGAACTCTGGACGTTTCATTAACAATGATGCCATTAACAATGAATTTATTCAAGAATTCATTTTATGTACTATCGGCAATATCTTACGACGATCGACCCAGCATGTTTTTTTCCAATATCAGACTGCAGATATACATGCATACACATATACTTGTCTTTATTTCATTACTGCACATTTTGTTTTAGCTAAACTGTACATAAAAAATTATTTGAAGTAATCTCAAATTTAGGAGTATGTTTAATTTTATATTTTATTTTGTAATAATACGGATAGTCCGAATAGAAACGCGAATGGTATTGTTAAGAACGGTAAATCTTAGACTACTTATTGTTTCCTAAATGATGGGAAATTCAATTCATCGCCAAATTCGTTATACCGCCATGATTTCTAAATTACAAAAGGTGGCGGTTTATCGAGAATTGACTGTATAATATGCAGAGTTGTCATTCGTTCCCCTCTACTGCGAAAATTGAATGTGTTGACAACAAAGTCCATGAAGCTATGTTTTTCGTGTTTATAAAGGCCTCATAAACACTTTCCATGAAGTAAATGTTTTTGTTTTTAGATAAGATACAATCAAAATGAAATATGCATCGTTTTTCAGAGGTAAATTATGAATAATTATCCTAGAGTAAAAAATCTATGAAAAACAAAAGAAATTCGAAATAAATTTATTCTTTTTTTAACAGGTGATATTCTTTCGCTTTTCAGTTGTGAGTTCACAGTATTTGATTTCTCTATTGTCAGCCACGATTATTCAGATACTTCCCATAACATTCGCACTTGTACCGCCTTCCGGACCACTCACAGGATCCGCCTATGTAATTTTCCCGCCGACATCGTCTATAACAGCTCTGGTACGTGCAGTCCCTGTGTTTATTGGAACACTTTCCACAGACAACGGGGCCCAAAACCATGAACGAGAGAAGGAACAACATCACGAATACTGACTTTGCGTTCATCTAAGAAATAAATTAAAATGTGTACATAGAGATTTTTCATAGAGTACACAGATTATTTCCGCCTTGATGTATATTTTCAGAAAAATATTATTACACTTAAATGATTGATTAAGATTTAAAATATTCAAACAATAAGAAAGATAGAAAGGATTCTAAGATGTATACTAAGAGTATATTCGATATAAGGGATAAAACAATTTAAAAATTAATTGTTATTGAATTTTAAGTACTAGTGCTTAAATCTTTATATAAGTATACTCAAAGTTGAATAAATACCTCTTCTACAAAGTAAAATGAATAAAATTTAAATTCAACGTCAAGCAGGTTGTGAAATACATGGAGATAACGAGCAGTAATCGAGCTAATGAGCACTAAACAATATACAAAATAGGAGCAGAGCAGACACAGACCTCCGAAACATCGGAGGTGGGATCAGGTGCCATAGCGGAGTGAGCATCCCATGTCGACTGGTCACACACGCCGTGTGCTCCTTGTAGTGATCGGGAAATACCGGAAAAATCAGTCAACAATTCGGTGTGTAAATAACAGCCTAACAATCGGAATTAAAAAAAAAAAGTTGTGCATTGATTTGAACTAATGATAAATCCTATTTTCTGATAAGGTAATTGTTTCGGCCATAGACTTTAGGAAATGATTATTTGAAACTGG